ATTAGTTCTTAATTGGCTCTCATTTGCAGCCAAGAAAACTATTCTTGATAAATATTATACAAAATAAGCTATCAAAGTAGCATAACTGTTCTCATTTAATCTGATCTTAAAAAATATATAAAAATATATTTAAAATAAAGAAAATGTAGTCATTCACACCTGGATTGAGAAGACGGATGCTCTAAGAGATAAAGACTAAACAGCTGAAACGCAGAGCAGCATGGAACAAAACGGTGACACAAGAAATGCAGTCTCTAACTTTGCCTGGCCTAATTCAAACAGATTGTCACTCCGCTCAACCTTCTGAGCGTCACGATGCTCAGAGAAAACCTCCATCTCCTGAACCGTCTAGAAGATTTCCAGCCACTGCTCGGTGCCTGAGAAGGGCACAGGTTTCTCAGCAGGATGACAGGGCTCCTCGGCTGACTTCCCAGAGCAACACCAGGCAGGCTCTGCTGAGCAGCACAACGCTCCTTTTCCCTGCAAAGGCACCTTACACCCCAGCAGCGACGTTCTCCACGTGAGCTGGGACTTACACCCTTTTGTGTGACACTAAATATCAAAATGAGGCCACCGCAAGTGGTTTAATGTGCTCATTTCTAACCACCATAGGACACGCCAGCATCTAGCACAAAGCAAATGCTCCCAGGTTTTTCTTTCTCATGCATCACCACTATAGGACTTTTTCCTAAGCAGTGAAGCAAGCAGAAGAAATGCACTGGAAATGCAGTAGTTACAGAAGACCTTTAACTGCCTATCTCACACAGACAGAAAGCAGCACATCAGTCACTTGGGGCGAGAAGGAAGAACAGAGTAGGATCCCTGCTACCACAGCAGTCATCCCAGGGAGATGCCAAACAAGGCTGGAACAAGCAATAGCCAGGGAGTACGTGGAGGAATGACTTGTCCTCTCCCAACCAGAGACATGAAGAGCGCTTCCAATCCCAGGAGCAGCAGGGTACGCTGGGGAGGCTGAGTTCATCTACACAGTCAGAATGAATACACCTACCCGGATCCAATTTCCTTCCCCTAATTGCTTGGTTTCATAACATATTGCTAAAAATTCTTCCTGGCAAAAAGATGAGGGAGCACTGAAGACAAACATAAGCCGAAATACAATGATCCTACTGATCCTTTTGTAACTAACCAAGCATAAACAAGGATTAAACATAGCTAACTTCTGTTTACCGCTGCAATGACAAAATCACGTTCAGAAGAGTGTTTACAGAAAGGACATATTGTTTCAGGCCTTCAGAGATCCAGCTCTCTGCAGAAATCATTTGTAACAGTCAAATGTTTATCATTTAGAGCATTTCAAACAGGGTAACTCCAGGAACTGGAATGCAGCTGGCAGATGGCAAAAGAAATTAAACCCATGACACGGATCAGTAATCAGCAAATGACGCTGAGGTGGAGGTGCTCCCCACCCAGGAACACCTGCTGCACTCACCAGCTTTCGAGGACCCTGCGGAAACACACCAAGACCTCCCCATTTCTGGCCGTGCAAACCAGCCTGGGGGAGCTCGACTTGCCGGGCTACGCAGGGACGAAGCCCCCGCGCAGGCAGCCCCGTCACAGCCCTCCTGCTGCCCTCGCCGAGCGGCTCCGGGGAAGCAGAGCCTGGCAGAGCGCTACGTGCTGCGTGATTAGGAGGCTGCCACACCGGGCATAAGGGATTCCTGCAAGCCTGTGCTGGAAATGGAAATTGGAGATGATATTTTCATTTAACCTACTTAAAAACAAAGGAAAGTGAAACTCTAAATGTATTCAGCGTCACTCAGATATGACTGCATGCTCCAGGTTGCTGGGGAGTAAAAAAGATTGCTCGCAGAGCATTAAAGAACCTGCTGCAATTAAATGGTTTCCCAGTTCTGCAAATCAAAACTCTAATTGAATGTCCAGGCTGTAAACTCCTAGGAGAAGGGCCAGACACAACGCACCGTTTCTGAGCCTGCTCCCATTCCTGTAGGAAGGATGAGCCCCCCAGAAGCCTTGGCACTGCTTTTCTCCATCTTCCTGCTCGGTGGCATCTGCCAGGGACAGTGACAGGCTGCAGACTCAGTGTAGGAGCCGCTAGAGATGAACAGTGTCACCATCCCCTGCGCTGCCGCGGCCGCAGCGCCCAGCGCACGGGGACACGGTGGATCCGTGGGGACACCTGCTCCCACCACGTCCTTCCACGCCTGCACGCCTTCCTGCTCACATTCCATATAATCTCCCTATTTTAAAAGCTCTGTAATTCTGAACATTACAACGGAATAATATATTTATTAATTTGTTAGGGCCACTAACTGTCCCCGAGGCTTTCCTTGGGAACGTGTGTCAGGTTATTGATTCGAGCCCTCCCCTCTTTGCATTGCTTTTCTCTTCTGCCAGGCAGGCAGGAATGTACTTCTGTGCTGCTTCAGGTCATAATTGGAAAAAAGATAGAAATGTTCAATATGACTCATACATAATTCAGCTTATCAGCTACCCAGGAGAAATGAGAAGAGGAGGTATATGCACATCTCCTTCTCCCGCTATCAACAGGAGAAATAATTTCCAGTTACACTAAGTATACGTAGTTTGGTCACAACAGGATTTGTAGTTAGAAGGAAAAAATGAGAGACATAGGAACAGAGAATGAAAGGGATGGTAGGGAACTGAACTGTTAAAAGAGATTCACTCATGTGAGAATCCCCGATTCCGGCAGGAGACTGGACTCACGCTTCTCTCTTAATATTCCAAATGGAATAAGTTGGCAATTAGAAAGGATTATCTGCCTCTGATCTATAAAACATAGCAGAAGTCTAAATAAAATAAAGCTCCAAAGCTACAAAGACATCTCGTAACAGCCTGCTAAACCCTGACTGCAGCTTCCGGATTTAACGCTAAGGCCTATGTTCTACAGAGCCAACTGCGAAGCAGCATTAAAACTTATTGTTATAAAGGATTTTTAACATAAAAATCAATGTGTGCTGTGTATTTAGCAGCACGTAACCATGAGGATGTCTGTGATAGGGCTTTGCCACACACCAGGGACCAGTGAATTAGTCAAATTCTTGAAAGGAAGTGCGGAACGTCTGCGCCACTCAAACCGCCACCCGGGAGCAATTACACACATTATTTTAACCCCAGAAGCAAAGAGAAAAGTCAGTCCCAGCCGACTGCCTTGAGGTTATCATTCTTCCAAGTGAAAAGCGTCATTCCCAAATACCTCTAGAAATTCATGTTAGGAAAATTCATGGCGTAACTGAGAGGCGGGACACCAACCACTTGAACGCAAACACAGCCAGGCCACAGACTTGCACCATCTATTTTGTCAACGCCTGGGCAAGGATAGGAATACTAATGTCAAAACTCACGCTACCAGAATGCAGGCACTGTAAAAACGATGGCCACAGCTGCTGTTTGATACAGCGAAGGGTGGTGGAAAACACAAAGCTGTAAGATGGCTGAAAAATAAGGACTTGTCCAGAGAACTTCTAGAAAAAGATGTAAAAAATATTTTGTTAATACAGATGCATTTGCTTAATACAGATCTCACGTGCTTCATCAGATAAACCAGCATGATAGGCACATGCACCTCTTCCTCCATATGTGTAAGTAAGCTCACAACTCTATACACATGAGCATATATTAACTGTTATACAACAAAGGTTTTTTAATTTTGTCATTATGAGAACACCCAGCACGGGTTTGATGCTTTTCAGCTAGAGAAGAAAATGCAGCCCCCAACCTGCAGATTGTTTTTGGCCTTACGGGATCATGCTAAATTAGCATTACTTGTGATTAAAGGAGGCTTCCAAATGAAAAAGCATGTTTGGTGCCTGTGTGATAGCGCTTTTCGCTTCTGTGGCTCATAAGCAGGGCACACATATCTTTTCCTTTCTCTGGTGTTTCCTAATGTTCCCTATTTATGTGGTGGTCTGCAAGTTTTACCTCATCAGGAACTCAGTGGGAGCCTCACAGAGCTGAGAAATACTGTTGTGCTCCTTTATAAAACGCAGGTCTCTATGGGCCTTTGAACATTAGCACAGAGCAAATAAAAAATTAGCATGTATGTGCATGTGCATACATCTCCAAGCTATCTAAAGGCAACTGCAGCCAAAGGAAACAGGAATGTGCTTGCAGCAGTTGGGCATTCAAGTATCCCATATCACAAAAATCCAGTCGTAAGAATCATTTAAATGCAGATCTGCAAGTAAACTGCTGAAAGAGCTCCACTGAGCTTTATGTACCCACAGACACAGCTGGAAAGGCAAGAAGTGACGGGAAAAGGACCTGTTTCTCTTATCTAATAATTTTCAGGTCTATAGCACCTGTTATCCATCTCTTACTAATACTGCTGCTAAAGAGCAAGGTGCCCCTCGAAGATGCCCAACCTCCAGAGACAAGATACAGAGTCACATCAAGTGCTGAATGGCTTCTATCGCTCCCATCGCCACAGTGTCTGAGCACATTATAGCACTTTAATGTATTCGTCATCACATAGCAGAGAGGAAAATATGATTATCTCCACGTTATAAATGGGAAAGGGGGAACTAGGTACAAGAAGTAACTTATCTGGAGTAAACTGTGGCAGAGCAGGGAACAAATGGCTTCACGCATGCAGGGCTGGCACAGTAACTGCTGGGTAACCTGTCTCCTCTGCCACTGCTGGCTTTGAGAAACAGAAAAACCTCACCCAAATTCAGTGATTCAAATCATACAGCAATAAATGCCTTCCAGTCTCGTTTTTTCACTACTCAGAAGTTTCTCCATCAATCTGTATAGACCAAGCAAATTGTTTAAGCCTTTCCTTGCTTGTCTTAGGAAATGTAAGAAAAAAAATCTACTCAGCCAAATACCATGGATTTGTAATATCTCAGCGCACTTATAAAATCCTATATATAAACAAACATTAATACTACAACACATTGGTGCACTGAGAAACAAAGCATTGCCTTAAAATCAGACAGTAATTCTGACAATCTAATATATATAAAAAAAATCATCAAATGATCACAAGCCTTTTACATCTAATACACAGTTTTTCCGCAGAACATAAAACCTGGGGAAGAAAAACAGTAAAAAAAGGAAACCACACACAGCAGATTAAAACCAAACCATATAGCAGACAAGAATCAAACCCATCTATTCTTTCTTGAAGAGTAGAAACAGAATAACAAGTTGTGACTGCAGTGAAAAGTAAACTGAGTTAAACTCCACATCAAACTCAAAATCTGAAGAACAACCTGAAAAATCTATTCAAAAAGAACTGGGCTGATTTAATCCAAAATGTGCAGCAACATAAATTAAGTTTCTGCCTGTCAGACATAATTCTCAGATACTCAGAAGATGGGTATTATATCAAAGCAGGTAGAGCTAGGCCTCCGAGACAGAGGTGACACACCTCAATCGGACAATTAAACTTCTGCACTTTAAGGAAAGTTCAGAATCTGCAATTCCTTCTGCTCAGGATAGTCCAAAAAATAAAAGCTTTATCACTAAAAGAACTTATAGCAAGTGACACAACGAGTATGCGACTTTTCCAGACCAATCTAGATCACCATGTCATTTGAGATCGCCACACTGACACGTAGCTATCAAAGCCCAAACCCATGCCTTCTGCCACTTAAAGACATGAAGAAACTTCCCACTTACCTTCTAACACTGTTAACTTGGCACTCGTGTTTATCTCCCCAACACTGTTGGTTGCTGTGCACTCGTAGATAGCTTCGTCTCGATGAACACGCAGGGGCTGTATCCGCAGAACTGATCCTGACCCATCATCGAACTCAATAACCTTTAATAAGGAAAAGAAAACAGATCTTTACTGATACCTACTGCAACAAAACTGAAAAATCAAGAGAAAACCAGGGGTTAAAAATACAAGAAAACAGAAAGTACTGTAAGCTGCAAAATACCATGCAAAATACCATGCAATAAATCCAAAATTCCAAGTCTGTAAATGCAACAACCAGGGTCACGAATGTACTTGTCCTCTGAGGAGGCCAGAGCAAATGAAGATCCAATGAGGTTCTTTATGAATCAATTAGGGTTGACAAATTATCAACCTGGTAATAAAGATGTGGATCTGATGATTTAAAACATCTGAGCCATATTTGCACTAATGGTTTTACTAATCACACTGATAGCAATTTAGTGCCAACTTTCACCTTGACAGAAGAGCAGAACGATGTACCCCTGGGGGATCACTGGGAAAATAGGAACAAAACTAGAGCAACACCCCAAGCACCTTCAGCACATGCTAACTTCACCAGGCAGTGAGGGCATTTAATACCCTTCAGCATCAGGTACTGTGCAATCTCTGATCTACAATGATATAATCACTATTCCTTTCCCAGCATAATATGTAAGGTCCTTAATAAATCCTGGCTTTTCCATCCTGCTAAGCTGGAACATGTGTTGCACTAACTTTTAAAGAGAATACATAGTACTTGTTAGTTTACTGCTGAATCACTATAAGTTATTCCTAAAGGGCAAGTCTGTAAAGGCTCAGCCACAGGCCACTATTAATGCCAAACTCCTCCTCCTAACAGTGACTACAGCAAATGCTGGAAATATTAAGTGTCCTTCAGATGGTGACAACACCTGAGGGAAGGGCACAACTCCTCTCCTGTCACTTGGCCTATTAAGCTAAATGTGCCTCATTGCAGGGGTGCCCATCCAGCCAAGGACCCGCATTACCTCCCTGCACACATCCAACACTGTTCTGGGAAACCTGGTTACAGGTGCTACTCGCTGAAGGAAGACCAAGGAGTGAGAAGAGGAAGGAGGAAAAACTAACACACACACACAGGACTCTTCAGGGACAGGATGCAGGAAGGAGAAATAGGAAGAAAAGAAAAGGTAACTGAGAACACTAAAGCTCTGTTATTGTTCACACTGCAAGAAGTAACTCTTCTGCTAAATGCAGTATAAACAAATGGCAGAAAACACTAACTTTGGGGCAAGAAATAGCACTCAGGGCACAGAAAGGTGAACATTGTTATAATGAATTTTAAGAAATGAAAGTAATTTTAAATAATACTTGATATGAAATTAAATTTGAAACTGTGACAAAATGTAAACTTACTGTAATCTTTCCCCAGCATAAGGCTTCCACCAAATTTTAAAAGATGGCACAGTCAGATGCAGAGAGACAAACTTCTTTAGCTCAATCAGTTCAGCTAATTCAGTTCAATGACAGTTAATGAAAAGCTAAGAGATGAAACATCAGAAAAGCTCATTTTCCCCTTCTATCCTTTGAATAAACACTGTGCGAGATGAAGGGAGCTACAACCACTAATGACCTGATGGAAATTGAGACCAGAAACACTGTTCAATTTGCTAGCTGTGGATACTTCCTTTACATAATAACTCAGTATATGTAAGTCAGATTTGTTTATTGAATTTTTTCATTTTAACTGAATTCCAGTTTTCTTCCAAACAAGCACGAGTAATTACAAGGTAAAATTAATAATCACCTAGCAAAAAGGAAATGCATTATTCACTATCTGCTAACACAATAAAAATGTCCCAGCTTTATGTCAAAGTTGATGAGAATAAAGATACAGAATTATGAAATTGTTCACATAAATGAATCTAATGTTGCTTATCTCTCTGGTCAGCCAGAGCAAGTACCAAATTTACTATAAAGGTTATACTTACTTACAAATCAGAATGTTTAAATGGTTATATACAATGAAGCTTAACCTTTATTAGAGAAAAATATCAGTGTAAAACAAAATTAAAATTGATTAATCAAGCTTTCCTGCTCACATACAAAATCATGACTAAAATTTGTGATTTGAATCAATCCATTTTGGGCAGAAAAGTCATCTGAGCTCTAGCCAGAAAAGCAAAAAGATCAAAGAGAAAGGATTAGAAGAAGGAAGGCAGAGTGGTAGAAGGGTCACATTTCCAAGGGCAGTTTTAGAGAAAAGACTCCAACTCCAAAAAGGAAAGCAAGGAAGAACGTGGAGAAAGTAATTACAAATGCATTTGCCTTTTAAAATATGAATCAAATTAGACACTTTTAACAAGCATGTTTTATGCTAGCTCTTCCTTTCTCCTAAATCCTAAAATTTTAATCCACAAGTCAAACTATCCATTGACAGGACTTTATGGCTCCCCTTCCAAGGAATTTCTGGGAAAGATGGCAGTTACCACCGCTTGGAATGCTTTCTGCTGGGCTTATGGCATCCTGGTTTTGAATTTCACTCAAGATAGTAGGCTAAGGAGGTGCCATATCCACTCTCATAGTGAAAGTAAAGATTGGCAGCTCTACAGCCACTGGGTGTTAGTCCCTGATTCCCACCCCAAGGAGGAACTCCATAGGTGCACCCAGCCATGCTCACCAAGGGCCATGCTGGCTCTACCAGGCACACTGCTGCAGGATAAGAAACTTTTGTTTGCTTGTCTAAAGCTCCAAACACGTTAGATTGGTTTCCTTTATTATTATGATTACTATTTAAATACATACAATTACCTCAAACCGCTGAGAACTGACTTTCTTCCCCTTCTTCATCCATGTGATACGAGGTTTAGGCTCTCCTGTTGCTTGACACACAAAAGAGGCCACTCCTCCAGAAATCCCAATCTGATCTTCAGGAGCTTTCATAAATGTTGGCTTGCCTGGAAAAACAACCAGATCACCCCCATGAGGACACCACACCAGGCAAGCAAGGAAAGTGTCATGTTAATTTAAATTGCAAGATAATTGGTGTTCATACTACAAATCCAGGTTGAATGGCCTTGGCCACACAAATTCAGCACAGACTGCAACATGACAAGCACGGTTTCTGCTTGAGTACCCTTTTTTTCCAGAAATGAATAAAGTCCATCTGGCTTTGCTGTAAATGAGGGCAACAGAGGGCTCCCCCCAACCCCCTGGGCATTCAGTCAGGTACACGACAATTCGGAAACATTTTTACAGCTTTTTTTTTAATAAATGGGTTTTTGCAGGTTTATAACATGGTCGTAACACAGGAAATTGCAGAACAGCTGACACACCAAATCTGCAGAATATATCATATCTTGACATTAGTTCTCCTGGAAGCTGTTAAGATTAACAGATTAACAAAATTAACAGATACAATTTTAAGTGCACTATTAAGAACCTTTAATTTAATTTTAGATGTGCAGCTACATAAAAACCCTACTGTGTTTAAGTATCTGGAAACCTGCACAGGGTGGTCTGCGCATAGCAAGAAGCTAATCACTAAAAAGAGAAGTCAGCAAAGAAACCAAAGTGACATTCAGCCATGAGAGACTCAGCAAAAATGACAAAAAATCATGCCACAGCTTAATAATCGATAGGAGAAGTTTCATAGAAGCAGAGTTGTGTCCTCTGGATTTACATGACAGGCTTGGATCAATATAACGAGGTATCCAGGTTAGGCAGCAACGCTTCTATTTTTCCTGTGCGCCGGCTGTCCAAGGGGATTTGGTGACGTTTGATTTAGGGCAGTTTTGAAATCCTGCTTTGTCCTACTAAAAGCCAATCCCTATATAAAGCAGTAAAACATTCAAACGCAGACACACGGAGGGAACCAAACCCACCGTGATGTCATTCAGTACACAGGTCGCGAGAAGGCCACGTCTCAAATACCACGTGCAATTCCGATAAATCACTTTGAAGAAAGAGAAACCTGACCCAGGGACGTCGCGGAGGCTCTGGAGAGGGAACAGAAAGGGCTGCCTGCCCGCAGGAGGAGCGGAGACCCCATTGAGCCCTGAGACAGCCCCATCCAAATGGCCCCAGCGAAGATGGGGGTTTCTCATCTGCAGGGTCTGGACAAGACAAGTGGGTCCTTCAGGGACCTATGTGGCTTTTACTCCGAGCACGATGAGCCTACGGCAGAGACTCCCGTGACCTAGCAGGGATACAGTCCTGCATGTCCCAGAGGGTCCTGTGTGCCTATGATTTATTTCAGCTACCTCTGACGCATGGCCCTGCTGCTCAGGAGAGCAGCAAGAAGACGCACAGAGGAAGAAGGCATCTCCCCGCTCCCAGCAGCCGTAAATCCCCGGAGCTACTCTAGCGTGGACACAAAACGCAGCGGAGCGGAGCACGGCTCGCACAAGGCCAGGCAGGAGCAGCGCGTTTTCCTCGTGTTTATCGGTTCAGCTCCAGTGACGGCCCTGGGGCAGGACGGGGCCTGGGGTTTCCAAAAAGCTGCCCGGTCCGTGCCCTCCCCAAAATGGTTTGAGCCACTGTGGCTGCAGAACTGGGGATGGGATGCTTTAAGAAGCAAGACAAGCTTTAAATATATTTTCCCAATGTGTGGAACTGTGATTAAAACACGATCATTTGCATTGCCCGACCAGCCTGGATCTGGCTTAAGCTGAGGGGCATCAAAACGAAGCTGGAGGTGCAGCAGAGGAGAACAGGCCTTGTTTTTGGCCCCTGAAACCTCGCATATCACCTAAAGCTGCCAAGTGCAACTCTGCACTCAGACAGCAATCTGGGAAGACTTCATTAAAACTGGGACGTCCTTAAACTCCACCTCATCCTCTATTACAGCATATTACAGCAAGTCAGCGGACCAAGAGAGCATGACTCTAGGCTGCTCTGGACGCCACCCTGTTCCCACATGAGACAACGCAGTCACTGAGGACAAGGGTCGAAAAGTCACTGCCACTTGGAGAAGCAACAGCCCCTAGAGGTAGCTAACGACAATCTTAATACAGAGTTGCTGCTGGGATGTGATCTCTGGAGTTTCAAAGCTGACAGATAACAGAGCACTGCAAAACGTGCAAGGCTAAGAGCTCAACATTGACCACAAAGTCGTGCTGGGGAGCCCACCAGCAGGGTTATGCTGACCACAAGTATCCAGGGCACACGCGGCTGCAGAGCCCAAGCGACACCAGGCCGCAGGTCTGGACCTCCATTACTGCTGCGCGCCCCATGCCGTTCCCGAGGGGCTGAGAGCGAATCTGCCGGGGTCAGTGCTGCTCAAACACACACGCAGATACGCGAGACCTGCCCTCAAGAAGATTGTGAGGCAAAACACCGACCTAACCCCACAAGAGAAATTCATCACACACACAGTGCATTAAACTGTTCAAGCAGCTGCACTGAATGTCGCCATCCTTGGTGAAGGGACTCCCAAAGACTGAACAAAGAAAATCAGCTTTTGCACCAGAAAAAGCCTTTCAAGGCATGATGGCTGCCTATCTGCTGCCTTTGGCACATTGTCCTGACATCAGCAGTGAGCAATTAACAACTGTGCTTGCTTAACTGACATTGATTTCACATATTTACTCATCTATAATCATGCCTATCTCTACTTAGTTTATATTTACATATATCTGCGTTTATTCACCTTTCATCTACCCCAGTGAAATGTTAATTTACTGTTTGCGCTGCTAGTGATTGCAATGTGATTGACTGTTTTGCAATGCAGTGTGCTGAGCTCATGTCTTGTATTGCATTTCTGGAGTTGATTTGTTCTTTTGATTTTCTGTTATTTACTCTGTGATCTTAGTAAAATAGCGTAAATTTATCAAGTGACAAATACAGCGGAGTCCAAAACTTTGTCCTTGAAGAATACAATGCAATTATATCTCTCAATGTACACCTACTCACCAGCTTGCATGCTGAAGACTTACTTTACTTTCGTACATTTTAAAAAAATCAATACTATTAAAAACAGAACAAAAGGAAACTGAACACTCACATGGAGTAAAACCTGAAAAACCTGCTTGCTTGTTTCAGCTTGAATTTACACTGTTGTAATGAATCTTTCCCCCCTGCACATTTAATTGAGCAATGCTGATTTCTGAAAACCAACTGAATCCACAGGGACTGCTCACAGAGGTATGTTTGTATATAAACCAAATTCTTAGGCAGTTTAGGAAAGGGAATTTCTACAAAACCAATTTAGAATGTTTGCGTGCCCTAAAGTTTCAAAAGGAAGGAAACCGCTAATTAAGCAAACCTAAAATCCTGAGTCCTGGCCCCAAGACAATAAAGTGGGACATGGCCATACATATTTTTATACATACTGGTAACTGTTAGAGCAACTCTCTTATCTGAGTGTCAGCTAGCAAAGTCATCACAGACTGTCGATGGATTCTTAGCATCTGTAGCAAAAGCACATTAGGTGGCCCAGATGACCTGTCCAACACTTCTCTAACTCCGTCACCATAGGATGCTGATGTACAGCACATCATTATAGGCACTTCTGAAGGCACAGTTACCACTGCAGCAACCAGGGATAAGACCAGCTAATGGTCCAAACAGTCTTTTTTAACCTGGTTTGAGTGTGTGCATTCTTAGAATAGTCCTGGAAACACAGCCAGAGAAAAAGAAAGATGCACTGAAAACACTTAACATACAATATTTAATCAGTAGCCTAGCCATTTTCCTTTCTTCCCTCTCTCCTAAAGTTCACTGTGACCAGAATCTCTCCAGAAGATTATTTAAGTGCCAAGTTTGAAGATTATACACTACCCGCTTTTCAAACAAACTACAAATACATGGATTTGAAGCATCTTTTAAAGTGAAAACCTGTCCTTTCCCTCATGACCTAAGGACCACAAATAGCTAGCTGAAGGTCTCCCTGTTCCACCCAACCTTTCAACAAAAAGTTTCACTGTTATACCAACGACAAATCTGTGAAATATCAGCTCGAGAGAGAACTTATTGAGCAAGTCTTGGGTGAGAGCCAGAGAGGTATTAGACAGCTGGCTGCCGATCACAACCCCTCTTTCTTGCTCCATTGCTAGGAGTAGCAGCTCTGGATTGACACCAGCCTCTCTCCTTGATGAAGTCAGGTCACCAGAGCATGTTCAGTCCTTGCCCTCCAAGGTAGTCCTTGCTCCTCACAGTACAATCAAGTAGCAGACTTCCCACTATCCTGAAAGTGGGAGAGGTGACTGCCATCATCATTTGTATTTAATCTTCATCTTCGGGCAGGACAACAGGGAGAACCCTCACCTTAGTTGAAACTTTCCCTCGAAGGCCTTCACTCAGAATTAAATTATTCTGGGGAGCTTACAGAAACAACACTCCTAGTGTCTTCTGAGCAGGAAGAACATGAAAAATAGAGGATTTTCTGACAAGCCTGAGAAACAGTCCCCATCTCATTTAGCTAGGGGCTAAAGGATAACAACTTGCTCAGACAAGGCCTCCATTGAGAAACTTTTTTTTTCTTCTACATTTCAGAAGAAAAAGACTTTTCATTTCCTAGCTGATAATGTTGAAAAAGTCACTTGCTAAGCAAGCAGAGATGAGCAACACCATGTCTTACAGCGTGAAAGAGATGCCAGCAGAAGTTGAGGCACAATCTACTGCAGTCACAGGAGACCCCAGCAGGCTCATGAGAGTCCTGAGGCTGAGCTAGGGCGTCTGAAGCCTTCAAAAGAAACGTTCGCCCAAATTACATTTGAAGAGCTCCACAAGAACATGGCTACAGAAGCCAGAGAGACGACTACAGGCAGACAAATTAGGCACACGCTAGACAGCAAGACTGTCCCCACCAGACAAAATTATATGAAGGATTTGGGAGGGGTTTTGAAGGCAGAAACGCTGGTGCGATGGAGAGCTACGTACACAGCCTTCCTGCTGGGCAACTGGAGTAGGAGACAGCTAATGATGAAGGCTCATCTCTCTCGCTCATGTTTTATAT